ATGAGAAACAGTTTTTTAAAATTCTACCAATTACGGTGGTAAGACATGATGAATTTTAAATTGCCTTCCCATGCCAGAGATGTTAAACTGTGAGAAAATGAGCATCTTAGGATCATTGAAGTCCAGTGTTCTCTCTAATCCTTACAGCAGCAAAGTAGGTGTGATACCATTTTACTTCATTGAAATGCTGTCTTTCTAAAATAGTAGTTAAGAGTCATAACTATATTGTCTGACAACAACTGAACTGTTATGTGTGCAAGGAACAGTTGCAAACACTTTGCATGGATTTTCACTGAAGCGTCACAGCCGTGTCCTGTGAGATAACTCCTACTTCATCCCTGTTTGGCTGAGAGGAAATTGAGGCACAGAAAGGCTCTGTGGCAGCTAGCAAGTGACAGTTAAAGTAGAAGTCCGGCCCAAGTTGAGCTGAATCTCAAGGTCATGCTTATTATTCAAACAGGTTGTTCTTCCTTTAATGTGGTGAGTAGTAAAAGCTTATAAATAGTGTTCTTCCTGCATAAGGAAACTGAGCATTTCTTTTAAAGGGGTAGGAAGAGCATGCTATTGAATGTTTCCAATGACATGAGTAATGGTATGTTTGAACTAGTACGCTCTAATATCCTAAAAAGTCGTCTCCCATTCATAGGACGGCCCTCCATTTGGCCTCTGCCAATGGCCATGGAGGCGTGTTGACTCTTCTTCTGGAGCGGGGCTGCCAGGTCGATGCGCAGGACAGGAAGAAAAGGACGGCGCTAATCAGGTGTGTAGCAGCCAGCCGTGCCCACGTGAGATGGATTCCATGTAATGACTTAAAACTGAATTGATCTGGTTTAAGCATAATGAACCACTGGGATTTGTGGCATGTTGACTTGGAATTCCTGGCACTTACAGCCTGTTTCTTGGCATGATACTGACAGGCCGTACAGTGCGAGGCGGAGGAGTGCGTGGACATCCTCCTTAAAAGTGGAGCGAACGTCAACACGGCAGATGTGCTTGGCAACACCGCGCTCCACTATGCGGCATGCCTCGACACCGCATCTATCGCGGAGAAGCTGCTGTCCCACACCGCGGACATGGACGTGAAAAATCACGTATAGCTCCATTCTCTTTCTTGACACAGTATTTCAAATACAGGTTCTTTTTTAGCCACAGGTGTTTTATTTCTAATACATGTACCAAATAGACTACATCAGGCCCTGTTACCATGGAAACAAGTCCAAAGCCAACGCCAGGGGCTAGAGAAAGGTGATGCCCACAGGAAAGGCATAGCTCTGTCGCCTAGCACCTGTGCTACCCTGGAAGGAACAACTCTCCATTAGAAAGTGCTTGGGAGTGGGTGGTAGGTTCAGAGGCCACAGAAGTTGAAGGCCTGGGGGGAGTGAAGTGATGATGGGGCTGGCTGCCTTCAGAGGCAGGGTGGCTACTGGGGATGGGTGGGAGGAGGGATACGCAGTATGCAGCAGGGGAGCTGGGTGAGTGCACATGGGCAGGGGAGGCAGCAGGCCACAGACCCCAGGCCCCGAGCACCCCAGGACCCCCGGTAATAGGATCAGGGCAAGTGAGGTCAGGTCATGTTTGACAGCCAGCAGGGACATTCACTGGTGCTGGTGCCCATGTGGCCCACCACGTACACCTTAGGGTCTTCCATGCTCAGCCTGGTGTAGCTCCTCAATGGGGCTGTGGCTCTATGTGGGCAGCAGGTGATGGCAAAGCTGGTCTGCCTACTTTTGCTCCAGGACATCCGTTACCTCCCGCCACTGCAACACTGCCAGGAATGCCCTCCGCTGACATAGTAGGCGCTTTTTAAGGTATTGGAGGCACAGGCACTTCCTGAGTGAAAATATTTGGAAAGAACATAATTGTCTAAGATTTCACTTTAAATAATGAGATTTCCAAAGAAGCATTAGAAGGTACAGCTTTCTTTTATTTATTTATGGCAGATATTTGTTCAAACATTGCATTTATTGTGGGTAAAAAATAATTCTTTCTGTTTTTTACCCACTCACATTTTTTTCTGATTGGTGTAAAAATCGAAGAAGGCAAAACTTGCCTTAGAAATAGACTTTGTCTTAACACTGAAGCAAAACAAAAACATCTGACAGTGTAATCAACTTCTTGCTGCTATGGACAAGTTTCTGTTTTATTAAAACAAAGAATTTATCTAAAACTGATTTCTGTCTCATTGTCCAAGGCTTAAGAGGAAATAAAAGGAAACAGACTGGATTGAGCAGTTGAAATATGCAGGCTAGTGTGGAAATTGGGCAATTGGGAAATAGCAAGAGGAGGTTTTTGTTTTCCTTCTGTTTACGTAGTTGGGCAAGCTGCTCTTCACCTGTCAAGGAGAAGCATTGTCATCTTGGGAAAGAGTGTGAGTGAACTGTACACTTGCCGATACATCAGTTTTACGGGGACTCTGAGGAAATGACACTGGTGGTGAACGGGGTGTGAGTAAGTGGGAAATAAGGGAGAAGAACAGATAACAAACTGACCCAGTGTCCTATTCTGGCAGAAACAGAGCCTTAGATAAGAGTCTAGACTTGGCTGTCAAATCTAGGATGTCTTGATGGGAAGTAAAGAATGCAGAGATAATGAAATCAAGTTGCTTCTGAATTGAGCAGTCCCTGTTGTACTGCTGTCTACCCAGGAGAATGAAATGCAGTTTTGTTAAGTGACTTTTACGTCTCAAATTTTCTTTGTTTGTGCAAATCCTCAGATGAGGGAAGGAACTGGCCACGTGGGTAAGCGATGAGTCCGAACTGGTCGGTTGTCTCCTGTGTGATTTCTCAGCTAAAATCGTGGCAGTGAACCACAATCACCTGGCAGCATCTCCAAAAATGTACAAGCCTAGGCTGTCCCCTGAAGATTTTGAGTGAATAAATGTAGTAAGGCCTGGACTCAGGTAGTTAGAAAGATTTCCTTGAGATTCTGATACAGCCCTTGGGTGAGAACTATTGAATGGCTACGTGTAATACGTGTCAGTTCACAGCTCTCGAAAAGAAGGCCTCTCTAGAAGAGTGGGAGTTTGACAGATGAGGCTTCCTTCAGTACTCTCCTTTCCAGCCACAGAAGCCTGACTTTTATCCATCTCTACTTCTGTGCTTGACAAGTTAAAATGAGTATTATTAGCAGTATCTGTGGGCTTGAAGTATAACTCCCTTTTCCTTCCAATCACTGATCATTCAGTGGCACTCAAAGAGTCTTAGAAATTTGCTTCTGGTGAATGATTTAATAAGTAGAGCCCTTTAAGGATTTTGCACCTTTTGTTACCGTCCAAGGCATTAGGCCAACAGGGTTTCCTGACTGCAGTAATAGGAAATCATGACCCTTCTGTTGGTTAAATCTGTGTGACCGAATCTTGCAATATATCTGTTAGATTCACTTAGAACCTGCATCATTAAATGGTGGGTTTTTTTTTTAAATTGCAGTATAGTTGATTTACAGTGTTGTGTTAGTTTCTGCTTTATAGCGGTGATTCAGTTATATATATATATATATATATATATATATATATATATATATATACACACACACACGTATACATATTCACACACACACACTTTTTCATATTCTTGGCCACTCTGGTTTACTACAGGATGTTGCATAGAGGGCCTTATACTGTACAGTGGGACCTTGTCATTTATCTATTTTATATGCAGTAGTTTGTATTTGCTACTCCCAAACTGATAACTTACCCCTCCTCCACCACCTTTCCTCTCTGGTAGCCATCAGTTTGTTTTCTACATCTGTGAGTCAGTTTCTGTTTCTTCAGTAAGTTCATTGGTGTCATAGTTTGGAGTCCACATATTAAGTCATATAACCTGGGGTTTGTCTTTCTGTTTCCAACTTACCTCATCCAGGATGATAATCTCTGGGCCCATCCATGTTGTTGCAAATGGCATGATTTCATTGTTTCTATGGCTGAGTAGTATTCCATTCTATATGAATATACCATGCAAGATGGCAGTATTAAACATCAAAACCCAGGAAGTTACTAACAGAAAGGAATTATTTTAAGAGTGTAGTTTCAGGCATCTTATGAACTAGAGGTCCATATGATTAACAATAAGGGAGACTGAGATACAGATTGTAGTCTCAGTAGGCATAGAAAAAGTTCTTAAAGTGGGTA